CTATTCAAAATGGATGTTGAGGCAACATAAAATATTTCAATGTGAAACAACTTTTTTCCCCTCTGAGACAGGGTTTCTCCTCTGTGTAACAACCCTGGCTGTTGGGGCTGGCGAGATGGCTCAGAGGTTAAGAGCATTGACTGCTTCCAGAGGTTCTGAGTTCAATTCCCAGCAACCACATGGTGGATCACAACCATCTATAATGAGATCTGGTGCCCTCTTCTGGTGAACAGGAATACATGCCGACAGAACACAGTATACATAATAAATAAATAAATCTTAAAACAAATAAACAAACAAAAAACCTTGGCTGTCTTGGAACTCACTATAGACCAGGCAGACCTCGAACTCACAGAGGTCTGCCTACCTCTGCCTACTGAGTGCTCAGATTAAAGGCGTGCGCCACCATCGCTGAGCTTCGACAACTTCTTTTTTTTTATATTTTATTTTATTTTATTAGTTCAAATTAGGAACAAGCTTGCTTCAGATGTCAATCCCTTCTCCCTCTCCCTCCCCTGACAACTTCTTATATATACAATATATTCAAAATCTAGCAAGTTAATAAAAATCCATGTCTTCTAAAGTTTTGACAACAATGCAATTTCCCCAATGTTAGCAAATTTTATTTTTCTTATCAGCATTTCCTTTTAACCAGTGTATATGTAATTTGTACTCTCTGATTTCATTTGTGTCTGTTTTCTTAGTGTGGAGAAGTACTAACACTTCTTGGGAAGGAAGTACTTTTAGGACAGCTTTGTAATTCTAGATTTGTCCCTTGATATCACTTGACTTGTTACTCTTGTTCCTTTAACTCTAAACATCCTTGGTTAGAATAGTTGAACATTTTTGGCATCCAAGCTTCATGATTGATATCAGGAAGCTTTTAGTCTGTCTCATTACTTGTGATACTTTGTTTGATCATTTGGCCAAGATGATGACTTATTGGCAAATGAGCAATTAATTTGCTAATCTGGGGTGATACTTTGGAATTTTCCAGATAAAAATTCATTTAAGGCTGGGTGTGGTGCATCCCAAGCACTTGAGGGGCAAAGGAAAGTGATCTCTTTGAGTTGGGGGCCAGCCTGGTTTGCATAGTGTGTTCCAGGACAGCCAGGCTATATGATAGAGAGACCCAGTCTCAAATTAACAACAAAATCATTTTAGAAGCCAGAAAGTGGTGATGCTCGGGAGTTTGAGGCCAGTTTGGTCTACAGAACTAGTTTCAGGACAGCCAGAGCTACCCAAAGAAACCCTGCCTTGAAAACAACAACAACATCATTTAAAAAAAGAAACAAAATGGGTCAGATGGTGGTGGTGCACATCTTTAATTCCAGCACTTGGGAGGCAGAGGCAGGTGAATCTCAATAAGTTAGAGGCCAGCCTGGTCTACAAAGTGAATTCTAAGACAGCTAGGACTTTTACACAGGGAAACCCTATCTCAAAACAAAACAAAACAACAACAAAAGCAGAAACACCATGGATTGCATAGATATTTATTAATCCAGTATTTTTTCAGCTATTTTGATTTTTACTTTTTATGTGTGGAGAAAATGTTTTGAAGTATGTAATATATCATGTGTTACAGAAGGGCATTTTAATATAAATATATGTTGAATATATCCTTCCCTTATGCCCCCTCATTTTTCCCTTCTCTGTTCTTTTTGTTCCCCTAGACGATTTCATATCTACTGTATATGCACACAGCATCTTATGTATCTTTATAAAAATCTAGAAACCAAGTATGAGAGAAAACATGATATTTGTCTGAAACTGACTTCATTCGTTTACTGTGGCCATCTCCAGTTGCACACGATACAGCCTTGCTCTTGTTTATGACTGAAAAATTTTCCAGTGTGTATAAATACTGAACTCTATCTACTCCTCTGTTATTGAACACCTCGGCTGGCTCCATTTCTTAGCTCTTGTGAATGGCTGCCACGAATATTGATATGTTGACTTGTAACCCTTCTGATAAATACACTCAGGGGTAGTGTATTTGAGTCATATGACAGATTTTTTTTTTTTGAGAAACCTCTATACTAATTTCCTTATTAACTAGACTAGTGTATATTTCACCAGTATTGTATTAATCAAGGATTCTTCTTTGTTCATACCCTTGTCAGCATTTGTTACGTATTTTCTTGAAGAGTACCGTGTTGATTGGGTTGGAATTTTATTGTGTTTTTAACTTGCATTTATCCGATGGTTAGTAAAATTGAATATTTTTTCATGTGTTCTTTGGCTGTTTTGTTTTCATCTTTTGAGAGTTGCCAGTTCATTTCATTAGGGTATTTATTGATTGTGCTGTTTTATTTCTTGTTTCAATTTTTGAGTTCCTTGTTAATTTTAGATATTAGTCTTTAGACATACACCTGATGTTCTTCCACTTAGCAGGCTAGGTAATCAATCACTCATTTAACTGTGTGCATTCCTATGAAGAAGCTTTTAATTTCATGAGGTCCTGTTTTTCAGACGGCCTTATTTTCTGAACGACTAGAGTTCTGTCCAGAAAACCCGTGGTGGTGCCTATCCTAATATGTTTTTCCTCTAACAGTTTTAGAATTTCATTTCTTACATTAAGAATTTTGATCTACTTGGGGGTTGATATTTTTGTACAGGATGAGAGATAGGGATCTCGTTTCATTCTACATTTGGATGTCAAGTTTTTCTAGCATCACTTTTTGTAGAGGTTCTTTTCTCCAATGAATATTTTTGGCCTTTGTAAAACAAACAAACGAACAAACAAACAAACAAACAAAAGCCAGGTGGTTACAGCTATGTGGGTTTATATCTTGAGTCTTCTAGTCTAATCCATTGAGTTGTGTATCTAGTTTTATGCTGGCATCATGCTGGTTTTATAACTATGGATCTGTAGTATATCTTGGAATCAGATATAGTGATACCTACAGCAGCATTCTTTTTGTTCAGGGATTGGTTTGACCACCATGGGTGCTTTGTATTTTCATAAGTATTTAAATTTTTTTTTCTGTTTCTGTGAAAAATAGTATTGGGATTTTGATAAGGACTGAATTGAATCTGAAACTTGCTTTTGATAGTACAGCCATTTTCAGGATATTAACTCCTCTAACCCATGAGGTCTTTCCAATCTTATATTTTCCTCAATTTCTTTTTTCAGTGCTTTATAGTTTTTATTATAGAAACTTTTTACTTTCTGGGTTAATTTTATTCTCGGGTCTTTATTATATTTATTTTGAGGAAGCTGTGAATGGGATTTTTGCCCCTGATTTTTTTCAGAATGTTTGTTACTGATATGCATATAAACATGCAATATGGACACACACACGGACATGCACAGATACAGTCAATTCATTCTAGTTAATAGTCCAAATTGTCATCATAAGGAATAGGTTGTGAATTTATGAGTCATCTTTGATCACAGAATAGTTACCAAGTTTCATTTGATTTTTAATGAATTTAGGTAACCAGTAATAGATAAATTATTGTCTACAATTGATGTCTATTTTCATCAATGACTAAGAGAGGCAGTGCTGTGAGATGAAAGTGTTCTGGCTTTGGAATTCTTAATTTCCATTCTGTGATCTTGAGTACATTGTTTAACCTCCTTGATGGTCATTTTAAATTGTCAATTTGATATGATCTAGAATCACCTGGGAAGGCATTGATTAGATAGGTTGGTCTGTGGGGCATTGTCTTAATTGGTATCAGAAGATCTGGCTTGAAAATATTAATGTGCTGGACTGTATAAAAGTAAAGAAAACTAGCTGAGTAAGTACTAAACATGCAATAGCACTCATTCTCTCTGCTCTTGACTGTGGATGGGATGTGAGCAGTTGTATTGTCCCAGTTACTTTTTTTTTTGTCAGCTTGGCATAAGTTAGAGTCAAATGGGAAGAGGAACCTTAAATGAGAAAATGTCTCCATCATATCTCCTTAGACAAATCTGTGGGGGCATATTCTTGACTGGTAGTTGATAGAGGAGGACCCAGCCTACTGTTGGTAGTGCTACTCTTGGACAGTCTTGGTTTCTATAATACAAAAGGCTGAGTAAGCCATGGGGGAACAAACCAGTAAGCAGCATTTCTCCATGGCCTCTGCTTTAGTTCCTGTCTCCAGGTTCCTTCCTTGCTTGTGTTCCTGACTTCCCTTCATACCATAAACTGTTTCCTCCTCTAAGTTGCGTTTGGTCATGATGTCTTTATCTCAGCAATAGAAATAAACTGTGGCATGTCTTAAGCATCCTGTGAACTTTCCTGAAGTGATGGACTGTAACTTAGAATTGTGATTTAAAATAAATTCTTTCCCTCTAAGTTACTTTTGTCTAAGTATTTTTATCATACCAAAAGAAATGAACCAGGACAGTATCATTGAAACATTTATTTCTCGTTAATAAAATGGGCATAATAGCTACTTCAAACTATTGGTAAGAGGATTGAATGAAACATAAGTTATTTGGCTCATATTGATTTACTGACTTTATGTGTAAGAATTTTAATGGGCATATGTTTAGTTTTGTGATTCTTGAGGAGCAAAGGCTGACGTAAATTGCTTGGCTCCTAATAAATAGTGCACTCGTTAGTTCCTAATGTCTAAGTTTTATGTTGATGGTAACAGATTCGTTTTGATATTCTTATTAGCTTCATTTTCATGATTTGAGAATTGTGTTACATGAGTGTTCAGTATTGTGTTTGGATAGTTAAATTCTGTCATTTTGTTTCTGGGTCTTAGGGGAAAATGAAAAGGAACCACCTCCAGCAGGTGTTTCTTTGTCTGCTTTGGAAAGCTATCCTTGGCTTGTTTGTGTGATATGTAAGTGTGTGTGTGTGTGTGTGTGTGTGTGTGTGTGTGTGTGTTAGTAAGAATTTTCAAATTCTTATATATAAACTACTCAGAAGTATGAGCCATTTAATGTCTTGACTTCATTTAGATTGTATGCAGCTTAACTTATATTTTATGCCATTTACATTTAAGTCTGACCTCATTTCTAAAATCCTAAACATTCATATTTACTTGGTTTTCAGGCATGTACCGGCATTGAAAACATCGATGAAGCTATTACATTGCTTGAACAAAATAACTGGGACTTGGTGGTAAGTACTTCATTCTTTGACCTGTGTTCGAACTTTATGGATTCCTGAATGGCCTTAACCTTTATGTATATTTTATATATATCTATTGCAAGTTGTTTTTATAATTATATCACTAAACTTTTACATTGAAAGTAGGTTTCTTTTATAGTAATATAATCTATATTCACTTACTGTTACATGAACATTTTTCTTACTAAGTATGGCTGCTCTATTTTTAAATGTTTGCATAGTGTATTATGTTGTTATAGTAGTATAATAGTTTTACTACTCTGGTGGGCATTTAAGATTGTTGCAGTAGTTTGCAATATTGTAAACATTACTGTAGAGGACATTCATACATATTGTGTATTGTATATTTACACAGTATTTTTTTTTGTTTGTTTTGTTTTTCAAGACAGGGTTTCTCTGTGGCTTTGGAGACTTTCCTGGTGCTCGCTCTTGTAGACCAGGCTGGTCTCAAACTCACATAGATCCACCTACCTCTGCCTCCCGAGTGCTGGGATTAAAGGTGTGCACCACCACTGCCCAGCCATAGTATTGTTTTCTAGAAGAAATAATATATTCAATTTATAACTGAATTTCTGGTATATTTTCTCATTTCTTGTGTTCCTACATCATTCACCTATATATATTTTGTGTGTGTGTGTTAAATGAAACTTAAGTATATAAAATAGCACATGACTAGTTCAAACTTTCATGGAACTTTTAATATGTTGTGCTCCATTTTCTGTGTTTATTTTGTGTCTGAATTATGGCTGTCATTGTTCTGCATTTCATGAATCTTACAGAATATTTTGCATAATTTAAGTTTTTAACTTAGAATGTCACTGTTTTAAATTTCATGTATGTATCTATGTCATTGGCCCCTATAAGTTCATAGGGAGTGGCACTATTAGGAGGTGTGGCTTTGTTTGAGTAGATATTGCCTTGTTGGAAGAAGTGTTTCACTGTGGAGGTGGCCTTTGAGGTCTCATTATATACTCAAGCCATGCCCATTGTCTCAGAATAGTTCTTGTTGTCTTCTGATTAAGATATAGCCAGCACCATATCTGCCTGCATGTTGCTGTGCTCCCCTTTATGATGACAATGGACTGAACCTCTGAACTGTAAGCTACCACCTCAATTAAATGTTTTCCTTTATGAGAATTGCCATGGTCATGGTGTCTCTTCACAGCAATAGAAACCCCAAGACATTACCATTCTAAAAGGAAGGAATCAGTGCACAGTGAAAAAAATATTAGAACAAAGCAAAACTGAAACCCAGAGAGACAGACTCCAAATCCTGTATCTTCATGTCTGTTGTCAAAAGGTATAGGCAGCTCTGTCCTTGTAACTTTGCAGACTGTAATATACTTCTATGTCTAGGCTTGGATCCACTTCCTGTGTGCAGCTGTCCTTGGTAGATGTCTCATATCTCTGGCCTATGCAACATATTGGGAGTCTCATTGCAACCCAGGCTTCACTTGCATAGCTTTATGCAGTGGCATCTCAGGGCTTCCAGATAGGGACCCCCCTATTATTCCTTGCCTAGCCTCAGTAGCTCTTTGATACTATGGTGGAAGATTTCATAACTCATTTAGTCATGCAGTCTTGCCATGTGGACGACACTACCAATTTCAGCTACTAGCTTGGATTGGACCCTCACTCTCTTGAACTACGTTAGTAGCAGCTTTTTAATGCAATGATTTCCAGGAGCCTTATACCCTCTTCACAGGTCGGAAATTTAGCTAGGTAGGTCTTGCCCTGAGGGCACCTTTCTCTTCATTCCAGTGCAGGACTGGCTTAAAGGAGAGCTTTAAGAATCAAAGCCATTCTGTCATTATCCTGTTAATTTGTTGTTAATATAGTAATGAATGGATCCATTAACAAGGACAGAGCCTTTATGCCCCAGTCACCTTTCAAAGGTCCCACTTTGCAAATAAAAATTTTTTGGGGGGTTTGTTTTTCAAGGCAGGGTTTCTCTGTGTAGCTTTAGAGACTGTCCTAGAACTCTGTCTACCAGGCTGGCTTCAAACTCACAGAGCTCCGATTGCCTCTGCCTCCCGAGTCCTGGGATTAAAGGCATGCACCATTACCACCCAGCTGCAAATATAATTAACGCATGACTTGGTGCTTAATTCCCCCCAAACCCCACAAAGTCTCATTTTGTAGCTCTGGCTGACCTGAAACTGGCTATGTAGACTTCTAGGCTGGCCTGAAACTCACAAGATCAACTTGCCTTTTCTTCCCGAGTGCTGGGATTCAAGGTGTGCACCACTGTGCCCAGCTGCTTAATTTTCTATCACAGGAAATTTAGGGGATACATTCATGCTATAGTCCTAACTGTAGGCAGACTTTTCCTGTCCTGAAGTTGCTCAAAGAAACACACTGGAGGCTTTATATTAATTATAAATGCTCAGCCAATAGCTGAGGCTCATTTTAAGCTAGTCCTTACATTTTAAGTTAACTCATATTCCTTATTTACTCTCCATCATGTGGAGGCACTTTTATTATCATGACACGTCATCTCCTGCTACCTCTGCATCTGGCTGGTGACTCCAGATTCTGCCCATCCTCCTCCCAGCCTTCTCCTAGCCTGGCTCCCCTGCCTATCCTTATCCTGTTCAGCTATTGGCCAGTCAGCTTCTTTATTAAACCAATCACAGTGACAAATTTTTACAGTGTACAAAAGGATTACTCCACAGCACCTAATCTTGGGAATTGTCCTGAAAAATTGGTGAGGCACATTGTGTCTTAGCCTTGTTCATAATTCAGGAATGAGAATAGCTTTCTTATAAGGTAATTTTCCTAAATGTTTTACTATTTTGTTGATTTAGTCACAAGTATTCTCTGAAAACACATCCTAATCCCAAGAATTCTAGTCATTGGTCACTTTTTCTGATACTGAAAATTATTTTGAGTATATAATTATTACTCACAAAGAAGTGCTTCTAAGCCCAGTGTTTTCAGTACTCTGCAGTTGACAATATTTATTTTCAAGTGATTAAAGGTTATATACGTTAAAATTCTGAAAATAGAATAACATGAACATTACTGTTCTGGGAGTTTGTCTTTCCTTATGTTTTAATTTGATGTGTACCATACAGTTCCTCCTGCTGTCTACCTCAGATTATTATCATTTCCCACATGTAGTTAAGATAGGGTAGATATCATTGCAGTGGAGGTTATTTTTTAGATGATAAATCTCAGTTTCCATTTATATCCACAAAGGTAAGTAAATGAGGAAGAATGATTGACAGTGAGTTAGAATTTGATAATCCAGAAGTAAAATAAAATGTAAGTGGCACTAACCTAGTCATATTGTATTTTAAGTATTCCATGTTTGTTATAAATTATTTTTTTGCTATAGTTTTTGCCTGTGTTGGCCTATACTCTTATTTTGTAGAAGAAAAACTATTCATAATGTGTGTATATATCTTAAACTACATATTCCAACTTGAGACAAAAATGAGCCAGTTGGTATCTACATTTCTAATTCATCTTGGAATTTCTAGTTACCAAAGAAAATTTTGTACTAATAGAAGTTTAAATTAAGTCATGTACAGTGAGCATTGAAGACCAAAGAGTTATCACACATATAACCTGTACCATTTTAAGTTTCTTTCAGGTGTTTTGAGACATTTTCTTTTGATTACTTTTCACTTTTGAGGAAATAGTTTTTAATACTTACCTTAAAATTAGGTACAACAGTCTCTTTCACTACCCTGCTGAGGATGTGGTTGAAGAGGTTCTCAAATGTGAACTACTTTTCTCCTTAAAAAAATGCTATGAACACTTGGAGTTTTATGAATGGTTTAGCAAGTGACATAATGAGTATTATCTGTCCTTAGAAAGCAGCCGAGCATTTGGTACTGGTGGTAATCAGTGGCCTTCAGACACTTTCTGTATTTGTACATCTGCTTGCTCTGATAAAGAAGTTGCTATGAAGGAATATCTCATCATACCAATTTCTCTTCCTTGGCCTGGCCATCTTTGTTTCTATTAAGGGTCCATTATTTTCATCAGTATTTAAATTCTTAGGTTTGAACTGTAAAGCAATTCTACCCTCTACTATTTCTCCTTTTCTTGAGGACTGCTAGACCTGTGAAATCATTTATCTACATTATTCTATTTCATCCTCACAGCAGCTCTGAAAAAGTAGGTAGGTAGTATCAGTTCATATTTATATATAGAAATTGATGCTCAGCAAAGTTGACCAAATTGTCTAAGGTGACTTATCTGTTAAATAAAAGTGACTGATTTTTTTTTTTTTTTTTTTTTTTTTTTTTTTTTTTTTTTTTGGTCACAGACCAGTCAGTCCGTATGGAATTTTCATAGCTTAAAATAATAGTGTCAAGATTATTTTTAAAATGATAATCAGAATCTCCCCATATTCATACTTGTTATACTGTTCATCTCTGAACTTCTTCCTGCCATTCTGCTAACTTGATGTGGGCAAGTTGAAGAGGTTTGCTGTGTGTGTTTTCTTGCTTTGGTTCTCTGAGTCTATTGGCAAGAAAAAAAAATTTTTTTAAATAGTTTTGTCTTTGGCATATGATAGTTGCTTGATTTTCTTATTACCAATCTTCTGTTCCCTTTCCATCATCATATTTTAATGTCTTTGCTGTTATGTTACTATGTTAACGTTTTTCTTTTCTGGTAAACAAGCTTGAGGAAAGAGGGAGGGTAACTCAGGATAGAACAGGTTTTAGTGTCGTCATATCTTACCAAATTTATATGGTTCATACATGTGTGGCATTTATTGAGAAATAACTTCTCACAAATCCTTCTATTGTATTTTTTGTAAGGACTTCCTGTTTTCCTATTTTTGGTTGTACCAATCTGCCATAAGAATAGTCCATTATACAATATCTGAAAGTTCTTATTAGTTCTTCTGGAGAAAGTTGTAGGTAACAAAAGATAACTAGTATTTAAACAGAAGATTATATAGTATTACTATGAAATACTAGTATTTAAATAAATATGAAGCAATTTATTTCTTTTCAAAGGAATATCCAAAT